GTTTATAACTCATGCATGAATGGACATTAAGCTTTACTGGGACCCCATGATCATCAATTATAAAGATAATGCCATCGATTTCCAAAGATCATTTATTCAAACAACATGTGAACATGAAAGATGTTTTGAAACACATGATATACAAATGGAAAATTGTTTCAAGAAGATTGAAAGAGAACGAAGTCTACTTGAGTTTTGGAATCAATGAGGTAGTTTCAAAGTTTCAGAAACTGGATAATGAACTTTGATTCGTTCTCTTTTCAATCGAGGAAGTAATATGTTATTGATACAGAGAGCAAGTACTACACAAGCAATGGCTATGAAGATCCATTCTCTCTCGGTCAGACATAGATTATTATGGGCTTTATCTTCAATTGGTGATATTGGAGGCTTTCCAAAAACAGACTCAATTCTGAATTCTTGTCGGTTCCATTTCGAGGCAAACATCAACTGTTTCAATCGCCAAGTAATATCTGAAATGAACTGAATAAAAGAAACAGAGTGATTCGAAATGGTACCTCGGAACTTCATAAGCTCTGGACGAGTTTTGAAGAAGTCTCTCAGAGGTTGTATTCCATGCACGATAGTACATTCTAGAGGTTTGCCGACCTTTCTGATACCAATAGTTGTTTTCAACGTGTCTAACCTAAAACTTAGAAAAGTATGAAAAACATCGACAGTGGGACATACCCTTCTACTCGACTGATCAGAACCACTTCATTTCTTTCTACAGTCATATTAGGAGTTCTACCGCACTCCAGCTGCGTCTCATTTCTTGGATAGTCGAATTCACAAATTCCGTTGTCTTCATAGCATTCAACAGAAAAACTATAAGAAAAATATAAAAAAAACTTTGGTTTCAGTAATCTCACAAGGTAACAAAGTTAATTTCGTCCAGTAACAGTATTTCGTCATCCATAACCTCTTGTTCATTCCATCGTTGGATATCAGAAAACTGGGTAACATTGCTGGAAGCTTCTGAACTTACAGCCTTGTAACACAAAACCGTTAAAACCAAAGACACTAGGAACTTGTCCGTCATTGGTACTTGAGACCAGCAATAGCCTGAAAACGATTACTCAATAGATAATTAGTTTGAAAGATGAAAGTGATTGAAGAGTTGACAGTTTTCAACACACGTCTACAGAAACTAAATATGATTGGGAGAATGATGCTGCTATGTCAGAGCGTGGATGGAGCAAATACTGTTGACGGGTTTATGGGGAGGAGTTTGTTTATATGTTGACCCAGGTCAAAACACGGAGAAAGTTGGTCACCCATTGGGAATATAACCCAGAGACAACTGTTGTTCAAGCATAATTCCATTGTTCTCCGATGGCATGAGCACC